GATTTTACTGCAATTGCTAAGGCTTCGGTTTGTACTGATATTCATTGTTTTGAAAAACATAGATAATCATTTAGCATTTATGTTTTAGCCTTATAATGTTATCGTTTTGTACTGTTATGGTTATGGACTGTTATTTTATTTACTGTTCCCATGTTTGGTGATGATTTAAGCAAGCAATGATGGTTTGTTTGTGTTTGGTTATTCTACGTAGTTATTAAAAATTATTTACTATAATAAGATGTACAATGCTTTCTTTTGTTCAAAATATTCCGCTTTAATCTTCAAAGTCTGTCATCATATAATTAAAAGAATATTTGTTATGCATAGGCCTAACTAAATGTCATTAATATTGGCTCAGACAGGCGTAGATTCCATTAGGCCTGCAAGATCTTCTCCAAAAAAATTTGGCCCGTCAAAGAAATTAATTAAAAACCAGGGACATATATCATATTATATCTAGTGGTAGATTAAAGGGTCCCCTGCCGGCCCGATGCCCCACTAAATTTGTTGTTTTTTTTTAATGGAGATAAAAAGAAGATTATCAATTTTAATTCTGTGAGTGCCATTTCTAGCCACAATCATAAATCTTATTACCTCAGCCTCATCCATGGTTGGGCTGAGGTGGTAAACCATCCATCTCTGAAAGTTCCTCCCAGCCACTCTATTTCAAATTCCTAGATCCACCAAACGATATTATATAATGTATTTGTTGTTAAAATATTTAGAGTAACAATGACAGACATGATTAGAAAATGAGCACATCTAAAATTCCATGATGGAATTAGCAAATGAGACCCAAAAAGAGCCCAATGGTGGTGGCTCCAGAAATTTTCTGACAAGGGGTCCGACATGTGCAACGTGGGGCCCAAACCAAGGGGTAAACTAGAGCCACGGTCATGGTTACAGATTTTTCAAAAAAGCCCTGGTAGGATTCACGGGAAAGTTTGTAGAGCTCAGTATGGTCCAAAATGTGTTTATAGTCCACAAAAATTGGGATTGATCATCAAAATAACATTATTTGAATAGGCAAATCATATTTTTTATAATTTTTGATCCGACGACAAGGGAGTACAGGCCTGTCCAATGGGGAAAAATTCCCCTGCCCACCCCTACTGGCACCACAACTGCATTGAAATAGAGTTCATAGTTGCGGTCGATAACAATATTTGGGGGTCAATGGACCAGAAAATAGTTAACCTTAGGCATTTATCTACTTACAAAATCCAAATTTATTCACTTATTTTCAACAATATAAATTTTAACTTATTGTTAATATGCACATTAATTACCAAAGCCAGGCTAACTGAACTCAGTGAATTGTGAATATAAAAACAACATAAAATTGCATTAACCAAGCATCAAATACTGACAAATACTTGACAAATACTATAGTAACAGACGGTAGAATAAAAAAATCTCGTTATCGTATGCTATATTATACCGGAAGATATATACATTGATCAAGGCAGTTTACTTTACAAAGGAATTTTCAGAATCTATAAAAAACAAACAAAATATGACTATATTCGGTAGAATGTTCTCGAAGGTTGTTGACCGGTGGTTTTCCGGTTCCGGTTCAGTTGCATATTATCGTTTCATTGACTGCGAGAATCATTCGTTCATTGCTTTGTACAAGCATTACGACAAATAATTGTAATCTAAGGATGAATATGCCAGGTACGATCTCTTTTTTCAATATTTGTAAATCAAAAATATGTGTGTTGTCATTCAGTCACATCTATAGGCTACTGTAGCATTAGGGATAAATGATATGACTATAGCTCATAGGGCTACATGCAGTATTAACATGTAGTAGGTCTAGGCCAGATGCATGCAGCTTGTCTCAAGGCTAGCTGAGCATAGCTAGCCTCCCCTACTAACCTGATGAATTAAGACAAAATTTTGTACAGTATTCAACCATCATGAACAAGTTAAGCAAACCAAGTATGTTTCAATAATTTTCATGTTTGATTTATACATCAAACCAGCCCTAACCACAGCGCCATATTTAGGAATGCCATTGGAGGGAAACTGGGAGTGTGTGCATAGATGGAGTGGAGGGTTGGTTGGATCACAACTTTTTTTCATTAATATGGCAACTTCATTGCTACTAGCCTAATGATTGCTTCTGGTTAAAGCATAAACATAAGTAACATTCCCTTAAATAAATTTTACAATCAGTTCAAAAATTTTTATCAAATAAGTTTCTTATTGCATTTTTAATTAATTTGAACGATTTAGAGTAAATAAATATATGAAATATGACTGTTGTTTTTGTAATATGATACCCTCTAATGGGAAGGTGCCACAGTCAATACCGATGAATAAAATCATCTAAAAATACACTTTCTTTTCAGAAAATAACTATACTTTCCTACAATAAATATATATTTAATATACATACTGTACCAGTTTTGGTTATTATATCCACATTTTTCCACAAATTAATTTTTTGTGGCTGAAAGAAAAACGTGGTTATCAATTCTGCCTGTGCCATCTTTGTTTACAAAATATGAAAACGAACCCTGATATATGACCATTAAACTTCCTGTTTTCCAGTAACTTCGTGTCGATTTATTTAACAATGTAAGGAAGAAATTTATTCCAAATATGCCTATATTATCGTAATTTTTCACATTTCCTTTGACACCAACTGGATTTTGAAAGATACCAAGTGCGATTTTCCGTCAATTTATCTTTCAATCAAACATAATTCTTTTTACTCTTATAGAACAAATCATATTTAATTATATTTATGTCACTAAAAAAATCATGCATGTGTTAGGGTTAAAGAATAGTAGGATATTAGGGAAAGCTTTTCAAGAAATTTAAAGAGTGGGGTGCAGACTTCTAGATAGTATATGCCAAACGCTGCCATGATTAGGGTGTCAGGGATGTCATTATGCAGGGCGGAGGTGGGAGGGACCGCCCAGTCTTGATGTCTTGCGCACATCCTAAAGCCACTTTATAGGCCTTCCGTCCAGCCTCATACAAACCCTCCCACCCACCTCTAAAATCATGAAAAGTTTTTGCTCAATAATAATGCTTTTAAAACACGTCAGTGGATTCTCGGACCAGTCATAATGTTGTTAAGTGGTGGATCCAGGGGGGGTTCAGGGAGTTCGGACAAATCCCCTCTGAGAAGAAACGTAACAAATTACTACTTGGTCAGGCTTACAAAATGCATGCTTACCTACCTAGGCATAGGTTGGCAGGTCGGACAAAATAGGCTTAGCTCAACTAGCCTTCAATTCAATAAGATTTTAAAAACTGTTTTTGTTTTGAAGTCATAATTTATGTACGAAAGTGCCTTTTTCAGGCCTATCGGTTCATCGATCTATGGAAGAAAGACTACGTATCCAACTACTAAAAATTGTTGGAATATAATAATATATTGCCTATATCTTTGATTTTTTTTCTCTATGTATAGGCTTAGGAATGAGATAAAATTACCTGACCTTTTTCAAGGGGGGAAAACCTAATTTTGAAGAACTTAAAGGTCATTAAAAGACACCTCAGAAGTCGGGAAAACTCATTTCCAGCCGTCTAGTAATCAAAATTTTCCCGGGGAGGACATTCAGGCTCCCCTTTCAATTTCAAGTTTTTTTCAAACATTTTGAACCCCTCTTTCAAATCCTGGATCTGCCCTGTTGTTTGCCAAGGTGCTTGCTTCACTGAACGTAGAAAACATGTGATTCGTCACTTGGCATGAGAGCGAGTTGGTTTGTTCTAAAGCACAAGTCTGCAAAGTGGTAGAGGCAATCTAGCGTGTAGCCGAAAATGTCATGACTTGTCAAACTAACGACGAGGCCTAGGCTATCTTTTTTTTCATAAATTTTGGTTCCTGGTGGTCTCTACTAAATCTACTAAGTACTAGACTGTAATAATGACAGTTTGCAAGCCCGGCTTACCTCTAGCACGTCCGTGTAATCATTGCAAAGATTTTCAAGTTGGTGGGAGGGGGGTTTGTTAGCTAAAAAATTAGCTCTCATGCAACATACTTTTGACATAGTTTAAAAAACAAATCGATGTCAAAGGTTAAAGTCATTTTCCATGAATGTCGTTTTAGGACAGCATGCTCTTACGACATTTAGTTTAAAACAGGCATGTTCTTATTTTGATTTGCAATAATTTCAAGATCTTTAAACATTATACGGTGTGTAATACATTGCGGTAAGTGAACTGATTGATATGATACCATTAAAGATCCTTTAGCTTGATTAGTGCTAACCGTACATAGCACTTGTAAGCCTACTGATCGTTAATTAACAGTTAGTGCTAGCTGGGATTAATTTTCTCCGAATTTAAATAAGCATTGCGTTGAGGCATTAACTATTTGTTTCCCTATTGAATGAACCAGAGCTGTGGAATATTGACGAGTAAAAGCAGGGCATAGTTGTACGAGCAATGATTACTGTATTGCATTTTAATGAGACAGAACTAAACAAAAGAAAAATTAAATATTAATGATAATTACATGTTGACGACAATTGTTACAAGGGCTGTACTCCCTCTCTTTACAAATAAAAAAAATGAATAAAATTATTGTTTTTCTTGCTTAAAATTATATTACTTGCATGAATGATTCTCTTATCCTGGAATAAAGAGCAGTAGTTAATACGTCACATAGGCTAGCATTCATGTCTTTTTAAACAAAATTAGGTACGCACATATTTTCATAAGCAATCAAAACTATAAGTAGGCTAATTGTTAGATTGCATTACCCAAGTCGATCATTTTGCTCTCTAAACAGCAAGAATCCCAGTGTTTCAGGGGCTTCGCCCTGCTTTAAAACCCATCCCCCATCCAGTCCTTCGGCCCTCGCACGGTTGGCACCTCACGCCAAAATACACACACGTTGTCAACTCACCCTAAAAATTCTAACACCCACACTCAGTTTTCAATAACTACATCGCTGGGGTATAACCATCTTTTTTAGTACATGGTGCGACACAATGCATGGTAGTGGTAAACAACATAATCCATAAATATTCTAGAACTAATTGATAGAGAAGTTTGATAATAAAATGTATTTAGAAGGTACTACTTTCCCCCCGAGAATTGTACCCCATGCCTACGCTGGCTGTACAACACGAATACAGCGAGGTAATATAATTCAAACTACAATAAATCTGCTTTAAAAATTACTTGTCACATTTTATTTAAAAGTTGTTTTTAGCTATTGACTATATCTGTAGGCCTAATCCTTATTCTGTATACAAAACACTAAATGTAAACATCAAAATTCTGGCAATGCTTTGTGTGAGACCGATCACAGAAGCCTGTGTTAAGTCGATCCGGTGTATACAAGTCTGTCATAATTTGGTGATGACAAAATTATTCTGATGAATATTTAAGCAATTTTCCTCGTGGCTGCTTATATTATACTTAACAGCTTATATTAGCATCAAGCCAATAAGTCTCCATTTACATATTTTAAATCCAAATCCTATGGGAATATTTATAAGCATCTTGATATAAATTAAAAACTTTTTATTTATTTTTAACATTTATTCATTATTTTTGTAGCCCACTTCAGAGGACTGAGAATTAACTCCAATATTCAAGTTCCGCTTTATGGAATGTATTATTTAAGCCAACATTTACACAAAGTATGTGTGGCCAGGTGCTTGTTGAAAGATAGAGAATTCTTACACTTATGCATGCATCTCTGTATTTCAAACTTTTTTAACTTTAATGAATAAAAAAACATTATTATAACTACCTGTATTACAAATAAAATGCTTCTTATCACATGAATATCATTTAGAATACAGTCTTTTAGCATAAAATTGTAAAAAAATATGAAAACTATCCTTTTATATATAGCTTTTATTATATGGATAATTTTGAGAATTTCTTGTATTTCTCCACAATGCAATTAGTGATCTGACAAAATAAAAACCATCCAATTAGTAAGTGTAGGCAAAACTTGATGGGATCTGTCTTCTATTGGAAGTTATGATATGAAAAATACTATGTTCCCTGGTTTGGTTTGTCTTTAAACAAAATAAACCATTTAATCAGAAGAACTGAAACAACTACTTCAAACTTATAAATGGGTATTATTTTTACTTCACAACCTGTGGTGTTATGTATTATTCAGTCATTTTAAAGTTGTCTTCATGTTGTTACCATTACCACAATTATATAATATGATTATCAGTAAATATCAAGATATATATTCATTTAATGCCTTGAATACTAGGAAAAATTTGTTTTTACTTCATTTGTTCATCAACAGGTACCTATTTGGTGTTTAGCAGCATGATCTATGCTATCACAGCAACAAACAATATTCAAAGCCTGCCTACGAACTATGTTACTGGTATAGAAGGAAAAAATATATCAATATTCACCCTCGTAAACCCTACTGGACATATCATACTTCAGAAAGATGGACAAATTATTAAAATCGGTGGACGCATCAAAATGATAGAAGAGGAACATGGAACGTTGTTAGTAGTTTCAATAGATTCTGTTCAGTGCTCAGATAATGGAAGCTATTTGATTACGTATGGTGATAACTTATCCCAGAAAACAGTTCTCAACATCATTCAAATTTCCTCCAAGCAAAAAATAGAAATAAAAGTAAACGAAACACAACTTGAAATACACTGTACTTCACAGAAGACCTGTTCGTTTCAAAAGCTCTCAATCTATAATGAGAAATTTGTTACCCATGAAAATGCGACCCAGGTTAGTGTTATTATGACAGTTCCCACTACAGATGACATGACGAACAAGAGTTACGCTTGTGTTGAGGAAGGAGATCAATATAAAACTGCTACAACCATAACTGGCCAGGAGATAACCAAATGCCTACAAGAAAAAGGTTATAGAAACATCCCACCTGTAAATCCCACAGAAGGACGTAACAATGACAATGAAAATGAAATTAGTTGTGGAAGCATCCCAACTGTAAACCCCACAGAAGTACCTAACAATGGAAGTAAAGGTCAAGATGGACATAGTTCCAACTTGAAATTTATATTAGTATTTGGACTTCTCCGTTTGTTTTTTAAATAAAAACTATGCAGGAAAACTCTTACCATTACATGACATTAGTACATACTGGTCTACACAATTAATTACTACAATTGCATGCATGAATAATTGTAGTTGCATAATCCAAATGGAAATGTTTTCTGTAGGTTTGGTCAATTTACATCAGTTTCATTAATATTATAATTAAAATAGTATATGCAACGATCAGCACGGTACATAAATTCTGTTTATATAAACAATATGCTTACAGTATGTAGTTGCATTTACGCTGATATATTTTTAAGGATATTTAAAAGCTTGCTACTGTACCAAAAGTATATGTACAGTATATTCTTTTAATATTTATATTTGAACAGAAATATTGTATCATCAATGTTTCAATTGACATTTGAAGGATATTTCAGATTAAGTTTAACCACCAAATGTGGTCAGACCGAGAACTACTTACATATTTGAGTTACATTAATGGTGCATATTTAAAATACATTTAAATTAAGTTGTATTAATAGCTTAATACAATGTTCAAGAATATATAATAGTATTTGCACAATATAAATCTATACAATATTTTAGAAATGTAAAAAGTAATGTTTTTAAATGAATTTATGCAGTAACTCTTTGCCATTAAATGAAATTAGTACAGAAAAAGTACATCGGTTCCAAGCATACCAAATTGACTATTACAATTGTATTGCTGAATAGTTATAGTTGCATAATCCATTTGTTGTCAAATGTACACGTTTTCTGTAGGTTTGGTCATTTAAATTTTGTTTACAAATAATATGTTTACATTGTTGCATTCACACTGGTATATTTTTTTTATAAGTGCTAAAATATTAGTATAATTAATTAAAATTATGTCAAATAATCATATTTATATATGGTTACAATCAAATGTCTGCAAAAACTTGCTTGACCAGTCTTCCAATGCAAGTTATTTGTCGAATGAGAAAAACAATGTTTCATTTTTTTCCGGATTAAATTCATATTAATAATAACTCAGAATAACCTGCTAAAATATTTAATGGTGCAGTCATAGTTCAAACCCATTTAAATTTAAGTTGCAATAAATAATACTATTATTCAATATTTATATAACAGTATTTGCAGAAAAGTACTTAGTATGAGCAAGTAAACAAAGTATAATTTTTTAAACTTCATCTTTGACTGCATTTTTTTTTCAATGATAGAGTTGTACTGTATGTAATTTCTAAATAAATATATTTGAAAATTCACTGTAGAATGTGGGCTTCCCATCTGAATATTTTCCCTCCCAATTTTTGCCTTATATTGCTTTGGATGAATTATTTTCATTTCTTACTCATTTAGTGAATACATCTTTTATCATATGGAATATTTCCGTATTCTTGTAAATGTAAATAATCATGTAAATAAACTATTAATCAAAATAATTTGTTTTGTTTCTTCTAATAAGTCAATGAAATCTTGTTCTTCAACAATACTGGGCATTCACAAAAATTGGTAGCAGCCATAGATTACTGGAACTGGGGTGGATGCGGATGCAGATGGTAATGGTAATGGTTGGAGGCTTATATAGCGCATAATACATTGTCTCTATGCGTTCGGGACTAGATGTTGCACTTTACAATAACTGATGGTGCAATTGCACCCCCCCTAAATTGTATTAAGAAAAATAATTGTTGTATTCTATTGTTTCTGGGCATCTAGCAGTCCATATTCTCAAAATACACCACTACCTCAGCCCCAACCACGGTGGGGCTAAGGTGGTGGGTTCTCACGCACCTACCTCCAAATCTTGCATCTACTCCAGTGGATCATGCATCAGCTAAAACATTGGTCCATGCATTTGTAATGTCAAGGCTCAATTATATTAGTCTACTTTACAACCTTCCTAAAACTTACATGAAAAAAAATAAATTAAAAAATCTTGCCACATTTTACCAGTTCTCTGCAACTTACACTGGCTTCTTACATACAAGTCTGTTATACCAGCACACATCTTTGCCTATGTATGATGCAAAAAAAACTACAAGGCTGGGTGGTCATGCCCACCTTTACTACTGTACACCTCTGCATCCAGAGTTTCAAACCTAAAAACTGGTTCGTTTCAAATAGACTGGCTAATTTTATGGATCATTTCTACAAATGATATGTTTCCATTAAAATAGATTTGATGAAGGAAAAACATTGTCCAGATCTATGGAAATTAAACACAAGTTACTTTAATGATATTTCATTTGTTAAAAATGTTAATAAAATAAAAAATATATGGGAAATGCTTAAGGTGAACATTAAGCTAATTTTACTAAATTTTAATAAAAATGAAAAATAAAAAGTATAAAAAAAAAAAGAAAAATCTGAAAAAAGTAACTGAGCAATACATGAGTTGACATGATACATAATGAAAGCTGTAATGAACACGCAGAAAGAGAACTCTGTGAGCCAAAAAGAGCTAGAATCTATGGTTAAGAAGGCATAGGTGCCAGTCAGGTCAAGAAAAATGGAGAAGGTACATTTTACTGCAAACATAATGCTAGACGCAGGGTTTCCGGAATGCCGCCCTCAGCGGCATGTGCGAAGCAACTCAGAGTCAGAAGTGCAAAATCTGTGCGAAATATTCCGAAAACAGTCAATCTTTGAACTCATATGAAAATATTCTTCCCATTGCACTCATAAACATTCATTACTTGTATACTCATGAAAAAACATCATTGGGGAGAGAACTAAAGTTTTCTGTGTCACATACTGATTGAGACAGGTTCATCACTCCACAATAAAACCTTTTTATTCCATTCTCTATAGCATCAGTTAGTTACTCACCCAAGCAATTCTACCACTAAAATTCTTGACTGTTATTTGTTATGTTATGGTTCTAAGTTCTATAATGAAAAGAGCAATATAATTGTTAAGATTATTATGTTTTTAAGACTTACAATTCTTTAAACAAATATGTGATTCCATAATATACAATGTCATCGAACATGCAGTCAATTTTACGATTCAGTAAGCCAATAGAATGGGCTTTGTAGGCCAAGTATGTGCTTTTAGCAACAGGTCTTGAAAGAAGTCATGGTATTAAAGCACATGTTAGGAGAATAAAAACATCGGATGGGACATTTCCCCAAAAGTCAAGTGAAATTTCAATAGTAATAGTCAGTCAGGCTCATCCCATTATTTAACTACATGTTGGAAAATTACTGGAATATTTCATCACCGTCACATGCTAATGGTGTAACGGCATGGTTCATTCATAAACCAATCAATGTATTCCATTGTCACTGCCAGAAATACATTCCGGGTCACTGCCTTCAAAATAAACAAGCATGTTCCAAAGGGACAATTTTATGGCAAATATAATTCTAGAATACCAATTGTAATGTTAATGTTAACATGCTTCTTTGAAATATTTAAAGAGACGATTAGCCATAAATTTGCTCTAATGCTCTAATCAACTAAAAAAAAAAAACATCAATTTTTTTAAACAATAAGTGTAAATTCAATTCTATTGTTAAGGTGCATATTTATATCCCGAATCACAATAATAAAGAACTCGATGTGTTCTTTTGAGCCATATGTACTACATAAGGTTATATAAACAAAAAAAAACTTATGAACCAACACTAGCAGAGTGTATTATTATATTTACAATGGAACCTTCTCGACCGATGCCGGATTACATCAGCTAGCCCGAATATTCTAGACTTACTGACTGGTTAAAACCAGAACCATACGATATAATTTGCGGAGATTCTGAAATCCGCTCATTCTAAAGAATGTATTTGTGCGTTACGAATCAACGGTCTACGATGAAGAGTTGTAAGAATAATACAATAGGTAAGTTTTTATTTATATTTTTTGTAGAATTAATATCTGACATTCATGAACATGCAGTCAATTTTATGGCTTTGTAGGCTAATAGAATGAACTTTGTAGGCTAATAGAATGGGCTTTGTAGGCTAATAGAATGGGCTTTGCACGCTAATAGAATGGGCTTTGTAGGCCAGATATAAGCTTTGTAGCAACTATGCTACATGCAACATGTACAGTAGCATAGTACTACATGTAGCATAGTATATGCACTGGATTCTCTTGAAATTCTAAGATTCATTACACCTTTTTTGAAGACATAAAACATGCTCTTTTTAAATTTTAAACTTAAAATTTGTTGTTTTAATATTTTAATATTGCAATTTAAAATGTATCTAGCTAGACTTAGCCTCTTATATGTTGGAAAATTAGGAGCCCACATTATTATAGGTCTACTCATACTACTATAGTTGGGCTTAGGCAAAACATTTTTCTGGCTTTAGTTATGGTAACATAATTCACTATATTGTCTACCAAATTTTTTGGTTAGTGAATTACACGATCAGGTCTTTTTGCTATCACATGGTGGCATTCCTTTCTAGAGTGGGCATGATGCCATACTATAAACCCATTCATACAAACTAATTACACATGAGTTGGAAAGATGCCACTCAACTAATTCAGAAAAAGGTTAAAGGTGGCAATGAACAGTAGGACTAAAGTTAAAGGAATTATTGCTTGCTGACAGCCTGAATCTTCTTTCAAAATCTCTGCATTTAGGCAACATAAACTGTGGTTTTACCTTATCACAAATATAAATATCTTGTTAGGAAATATTAAAACTTATAATATTATTAATTATATATATATTAATAATATATATTATATAATCATATATATTATGTATTATTAATATTTATATATTTATTTTATTCATCAGATACACTCGCTAAATGTTTAGCATTCGTTTTATTTGCAATCATCTCCAATAATGCGGCAACAGGAGGTACCATTTATAGCGTGCATACAAATTTAAATGGTGCGCAAGGAACAAATATTAAAATAACATTCATCCTGAACACCACTGAAAGCGAAAACTACACTGCACAACTGTTTAAAGATGGAGATATTGTTGACAAAATTGATAATCGCTTCACAATTACTAAAGAAGAGGGGAAGATTGTGCTGAAGATCCAATCTCTTCAACGCCATGATAAGGGAAACTATTCTATCAAGTATGGTCCCACTATTTCTGAAACAACGTTTCTGAACATCATTGAAATACCATCAACAGACTATCCAAAGATACAATTGAAGAAAGTAAACGAAAATCAACTTGAAATATGGTGTATATCTGAGAAAACATCACCACGGCCCAACCTCTCCATCAATGGAGAAGACCTGGGTTTCAACGAAAATGAAATCTACATGTGGACAATTAAGACAGTTAACATCAGAGCTAACATGACACAAAAACTATATTTGTTCACTGGAAGTTGCGGATTTTCCTAGAAAGTATGCAACTATGACTGGACCTCAGATAACCGAATACCTAGCAGCATTTCAAAGCTCCGACCTACCTACTAGCTGGACCACCCACAAGAACCCTAGTGATAGTACAAGTAATCATGATGATGACAGTTCTACAATAAAAACTGTATCAGGGATATGTGGACTAGTATTGTTTGTATTGATAGTAATTGCAATTTTCTATTTGAAAAGAAGAAGAGATGGAAGAAAAAAACCAGCTATGATCATGGAAGTCTAAATTTGAGACCGGTAGAAACTTCCGGTACACCAGACTTCAAGGTAATGCAAAACAAAATCATCCATTTTTCTATACAGTACAATTTTTTTTGCAAAAACATTCTAGTATCTACAGCTACACTTCATTTGTTTACATGCAATTGTGGTTTTCAATGTTATTGGCATGGAATGGTGACCTGTGGATTATGAGCCTACCGGGCTTAGGCCCTAAATTGCGGGAGAACAGTCACACTTTACTAATTGTTGACCACTTTACTTGTTTTCAGATTTACTGTTCGCAGTTAATAGCCTAAACAACAACTTCAATTTGGGAAGACAGTCATTGCAATGGAATGGACACTTCCTGGTAATATTCTGACTTCAACCAAGCACTCTTCTAATCTTCATGAACAATGGATCACCAACCATTACCTTTTCTAAGGCCAAGATAAGTCATTCTCATTCTCCTAATGGCAGTCACAGCAATCTCACGGAAACCGAGCCAATCAACCATTCATCTCATAAACCATGTGTGGATATAAGTGTCATTCTTATCAATGGCATTATTTTTTACTTTTTTAACGATTAGAGAAATCTCATGTTTGTAAATTTTTGTAAAGCTTGTTTTCATACAATTTTTTATTAACAATCATTTGTAAACACTTTAAGGACTTTTAATCTTTATTAATTTCATATTTTTCTTTTTTTTTCTTTCACATTACAAAATTAGTCCGAGTCATTTTATGGTGCTCATGCTCATGAGCAGGTTTCATTTAATGATCACGTCTCATTATTTGAACATGCTAAGGCCCTATAATAAATATTATTAGTTAACACCCTATCTGGGTAGGAAAAGTGATGAGGGAGGGAGGGAGGCTTTTTTTATTTTGCTAAAGCCAAATATTGGGTTGTTTGCTGGTGCATTTCTATTCAAAGTAAAACATGATTTAGATAAACAATATCAACTAACTATTTAATAAAATATATGAAAAAAATAAACTAATAATTTATTTATTGGGCCTAACATCAACGTTAGGATACAATATTATTGAATTTTATATGCAGATAAACAAGGTATTATTCAAAACATATTTAAATTAAGTGCATTATTTAATAGTAAAAACATTATATAGTAGTATGCAAGGTAATTACTTAATATTACTATACCTCATAAATATTAATTAGGTAAAAAAACATTTCATTGGTCGTTTCCACACAGGCAAAAAGTACTACCCAACATCGACTACTGCACCCCTGCCTACGTGAACTGTATGCAAACTATGTACCCTAATGTAGACAGACGGTCTGCTATTAAATATTTATGAGATATAGTAAAACAAATACAACATGGTTTTATTTCGGTAAAGCAGTGAATTCTACTTCCCTTGTTTTTGGAAATTGGGACTATCACTTCACTGCTTCTTAAACCATCTTGTATGCAATAATAGCATGTGCACGAAAACAAAAAACTCAAGTTATAGAATTATTTAAGTAAAATATTAAATATTCCATAGTATTTATTATTAGAATTATTTATAGTTAAATATTCAATAAATAATAACAGTATTATATCACAGCATGTGCCGAAAAGCAAGGAACCGCATAACTCAAACTCTTAAATTAAGAAATTTATTTAAGTTAAATATTAAACATTATATATATTAGAATTTATCATTAGAATTATTTATAGTTAAATATTCAATAAATAATAACAGTATTATATCACAGCATGTGCAGAAAAGCAAGCAACTGCATAACTCAAACTCTTAAATTAATAAATTTATCTGAAGTTATTAAATATTATATATATTAGTATTTATTATTAGAATTATTTATAGTTAAATAATCAATAAATAAGATAACAGTATTAAATCACAGCATGTGCAGAAAACAAGGAACTGCATAGATCAAAACTCTTAAATTAATAGAATTAACAATAAGTTAAATATTACATATTATTAGAATTATTTATAGTTAAATATTCAATAAATAATATAATAGTATTATATCTATGCACAAACACAACATGCAAAATATCACGTGTGGTTCAAATGCATAATTTATTTATGTGTGGCTAGGTGCTTACGTGTGTCTCCGTCTGACCATCATTTAAATTCAAACAGTGACTTCCAAAAGCTTTGAATTTCTTATGGAAATTATGTTAGACTTGTTCCATGAAAGATATGTCTGCATTTTTATTCTTCTTGTTAATGAAAAATAGTAATATTTTCCACATACTTTTTACAAATATGGTATAAAAATAACTTAAATATTTGCAACTTTGTTTTGGAGAAATAAAAAAAGTTTAAAGTTGTTTATAATGTCTACAGATATGATTATGTTGACTCGACTGATAGCAAAGGAACATTGATGGTACTGGTACTTATAATGTGTATTTATAATGTGCCTCCTCCTTGAGGTTATAAAGCGCAGTTTCTTTCCCTGATCATTGAGTCCACATGCTAAGTGTTGCTGCTGGTAATCAGCGCAGGAGCAGGCAACCCCACCAGGTACCCATTTATACTCCTGGGTAGAGAGAAGCAATGGGAAACCAAACCGATTCTGACCAACATTCAACATACTTATTTTCTTTAGGTTCCAATGGTATATACAGATTCAGCGATCATGTTTTACAACCCTCTGTTTCTGGCCTTCTCCACAAGTACCAATCCATTGATCTTTTACTACTTTCTCTACCATTCGTCAAGTCCCTTTACTTATCAGATGCCACATAAATCTCATTTATCTAATCACTAGCTCACATATTACTGTACAGTAGTTCTCTTTTCACTCCAGCTCTTCCAAATACTTCATCATTGCCAATTTTTAATCTAAGGGATCCTCATCATGCTTCTAAAAGCTATATTTCACAATCTCTCCAAACAACAAATTACCAAAAGTGTATTGAATGGAAAGAAATCAGTCTGTGATTTTTCATGCATGCAAGAGCTAGCTTGCACTCTACTTGAGGATCAGATTCAACTACCCACTTAGCGGAATTTTGGTGGTCTAGTGGGACACCAGGCTAGTTTCTTGAGATCGTGGGTTTAGGTGACGACTTTTTTAAATATGCAATTACAAAAAAAAGAACATGTATACTCGCTTAAAATGAGGAAAAATTTCTCCTTCCCTACTGGATTTTTTCCCAACCAAATGGAAAGGAAACTACTTTTTTTGTTGATGGCCTAGCATTGATACTACAGATAATTTCAAAGTTTAAAAATGTAACAAGCATTGTAAATTATTATAATTCTAATGTTGATATTTTGTAATATTTAAACAGTATAAACAATTCTCTAATAAAATGAAATTACAGATATCAAAATGTTATGACAAAAAGAATTATCAAACCAGAGCCTTGCAGGCGTCAACATTCCTATGTATGATAC